CACTAATTCATCATAGTTCTTCTGCAGATCGCCACCTGCATAAGAGTGGGGTAACAATGAAATCCTTATCCGCCCCCCCGGCGGATAAGCCGGGGGGGGGCCCCCCCCCGGCTTATCCGCCGGCGGGTCGTACCGGTATAGCCGCGACAAAGTGGCCGGGCGCTGCCATCGCCTGAAGGACCCGGAAATGCCGACAGCATCCGGCATGTTGTGGCAAGATTTTGAAACACCACAAAGGTCGACGGCAAGCATGACGCCGCCGGCCTTTGAGGTGTTTCTTTGAAAGTTGTAGCAGGCGCAGCATTTGAAGGGTCCGCACTCACTGCCGGGATTGCTTTGGACTTAAATAAAAAAAACCGCCAGCAGATACATACTTGCCACGCAAAAGGTGCGAAAGCTTGGGCTATTCGCCACGCAAGAAGTGGCCCAGCAAATAGCAGCGGGCACACAAGGCCAGGGCCAGAACTTGCCCCACAGAAGTAAACCCCCAGCGTGAGGGCCACCGAGCTTCTTCGCATACACCCTTCGGGTTATGCGCTTACTTGCCAGGCCATGCCGCCCTGCTCTGTCTTGGGCATCCATGCCTGCAGACAGCGGCTTAGGGTCCGAAGCGAGAACGAAACGCAACGGGCTGAGGGTTTCATCTTGCGCGCGCCCGCCTTCTAGGGGTGTGCGCCTGTGCAAACCCAAGCCCGCCGCCCGCCATGGGCCCCCCGCCCTGCTTTTTCAATGGGCCCAGCCTGCCACGCACCGAAACAGGCCGCGACAACGCCCACAGCTGCGCGCCGAGGGCTCGCCTCTTATAAATGTCGGGCGCCATCGGTGGTAAAATCCCCCCCCATGGTGTGCTCGACTTATATTCTACCGAGATAGGAGGGGGCTCTAGGTTGGGCAGCCATTTCCTGGGCCGCGGGCCGGGCCGTGCTGGTGACATGTTAGCTTGCCGCAGCGCGGTTCAATAGCTTCCGCCACGGCCTGCCATAGATATTTCAGCAATTGAGCCGCGCGGGCGACAGCCTCGCGCGCTCTACTTTTGTTCGCCGGCTTTTTTTTTTTTCATACCGCCGCCGGCCAATGTGCTCTAGGTTTCCGGCGCGGCGCAAATGCTCGCCCGAAGTCAGTGACGCGCAACAGGCCTCGGGGCCCACTGAGGTTTTCTCGGTTGCCATTACAGGTTTTCCCGCTTCCCATCTCGGGCCCCGGTGGGGTTTTCCCGCCGCACAGGCCCCGGGGCCGGCCCAGTGCGGCGGGCTGTGACCCTGGGCAAGCCGCAGCCCGCTACCAGCTATTACCCCCGTGCTGGCTCACTCGCGACGCCCCGGCCGCCTCACCACGCGGCACGCATGGCGCCAGGGCTCCGGGGCAGCAGCTCCGGGGACTTGCATGGGGCTGCGGGCTGAGTGATGATTTCTTGCGTGGCCTGTTTTCAGCGCGAATTGGTAGCCGTCGGGGCTTGTGAGTAGCCTGCAAAGCCAGCGGGGTGCTTGCACCTGCGAACAACCCCAAGACAGCCTGCACGCGTGAAGCCTGGTGGCGCCCTTGTTTGCGAGGCACGCTGCCGGACTCGGTCTGTGAGAGAGTGTGTCTCTTCTGTCTGTAATGTGATGAGGCCCGGGCTTCTATTGACAAACCCCCTAAACAGGCCCCGACGTGCGAAGCTATCTAGTTTCTGTGTGAGAATTTTCAACGCCATGTCTTTCCGCCTTGTGTTGTTTTGCTTGGTTGCATCCATGGCAAACATTGACGCACTAATTCATCATAGTTCTTCTGCAGATCGCCACCTGCATAA